TGTAAGTTTAAAGGGCGGTGGTTGTCGCACCGCGTCCTGTTCATTAGGAGACTCATAGCGACGTATAAACACGAGTAAAATACATTGTTTATTTACATGAAAATCGAACACGCGCTGCGCGACGACCACCGCCCTTTAAGTTGCATTCCCGCTTTATATGATCTGCAGAAAACATCTCACTGACTCATATTCCCATCATAATGGATGTGTACGGTTCTTATTAAACATGTTCTTGAAAATGAGTTTGGAAGTCACTCTTAAAATAACATGAAGTAAAGTGACCATGACTGATTACAGTTTCGACCTTCTGGTCGGCTCTAGTACAGTGCTGCACTATTTCAGGATTTGTGGCCAACTGACTTTAAAAAGTTTTATGGTAAAAACAGTTATTATCGAAATGTGTTATATATAGAATACCCGGGAACAGTAACTTCAAGTTTCGATACGTCAATTTCCTAAGCTGACGAGCACGAAGCTGGGCAATTGGATTAAATACTTAAATCTTGAGTAATAACCAGAACCAGACAGATAACTACTGCCCAAGCATTCTCATTCTCGAGTTTCTCCGTCGAAAATTTGTTCAAATACAACGCAGCCACTGGCAAAATCATTATACTAAGTGTATCAATTTGCTATGCTGGATCTGACAATGACTTATCGAGTTAAATTTTATTTCTAATTTTAATTAGTCATCTGATTTTATCATTCAAACTTCCCTGACATCGGAGTTAGCTATGCATTTATCATGCCAATACTTTAGATAATAAAACTGAATAATACAGGGTGATGTAGCACTCCAATTGTTTCCACTCATTCATTTACTTGATATCTCAATTTATTATAAATTATACACTTTCATGTCTTCAGAAAACGAGTAAAAAAAATTAGCTGACCAGATTCACTTTCTTCCAGATATATTACTGCAAATGCAACAATTCGTATATCGGCGACAAAATCATACATTGCATTATATATATTTATTTTATTCAAGAATCTCGTGACTTGTTTTACTTATATGTGAATCTAACTGAATCACAATATGTTAAATAGTAATTTTCCAAACTTAAAAAACACAATAAAGTACACATTTAATTCTCGTATTAATAAAATCAGATAATTGCACGTTTAAAAAGAGACAAATTTATACTTACGAGTGAAACCTACACATAATGTTGTATGAATGAGAGACCAACATGTTGGATTTATCGACCTTTATCGGTGAAAATTGTGAAAAAGTTAAAAACAATTAAATAAATACTAGACACCTAAGACGGTTGCCATGGAATGAATTGAATGGGCAAAAAGGGCACATACAACTCAAACACACAGTGTGGATGTATTCAACATTTTGCTCACACAGTGTCTGAATTGTAGAAATCTAATTTGCATACCAAAGGTATTGAGGACATGAACCTAAGTTGCCAGTTGTTGTTAAGCTGTCTGGGTTGTAAAGTCTAGATATTTTTTTGGCGTTTCAATTCAACTCAATACAATAAAATGACATACAGACACATAGTGTCTTATTTATTTTATGTTCACAATTAAACGAAATATTACGCTCATGTATATGTGTCGTGTCGTGTGTTAGAAAGACGGCGAGAAATTTAATAGCCCAGTCGTTAAATACTCTAACTGCTCTGGTTGATGTTGTGAGTTTGAACCCCTTCCTTTGTTTTCAAATAATTTAGAATGGCGATCTACTTACAAGCCTAATTTACATTGGCAGTTTATAAAATATGACACAGTTGTGTAGCTAAGACAATGCCGGTTCAGGCAATGTGCCAAAGTAATAATTACACATATCGTATGAATACAACTGTAGGATTTATGAATGCAATCGCAGGATACACTGCATCACTCGTGATAATAGCTACAATTCCCTACAAATGTCAGGGTGATGTCATAGTTTTCTGTTATATCACGTGAAGTTACGACATTACGTCATGCTGACATCTTATGACATAATGCAGATATACTATTACGTTAAGAGCAAACTTTATTATCTGATGTTTATAATTCATTACGCCGTGTAGATATATAGAATGATGTAAACATTTTGTTATATAGTGTGGAAACTGTATTATAATGTCGATATACCATTACTTTCTGTACATACATCATGGCATGATGTGGATATACTAATATGTGATGTAAACAAATATGCGATGTTGATATGTCATTACGTCATGTAAATATATCATGACATGATGTATATGTATAATATTATGTGATTAGTAAGCGTATTATGTAGTGTTGATGTATCATTACGTAGCGTAGATATATGCAGACTGTGAGCTGACAGACTTTAAGCCTTACAAGTGACCGTGCTGTTCTCCAGGGTATGTGTCCTACTATGTTCATGGCATAATTCTACTACACATAAAATCATATCTACACCACGTATGATATATCCGCACCATGTTATGTCAATATTACGATACATCACATCTCATACCAAAACAAATATGATGTTAATAACGTCAAAGATAATCGCAAGTATACCAGACTCTCAGTCAGGACATGAGAATAACGCCAGAGAAACAATTAAGATTAAATGACTACGTTGACGAGTTGAACAGCTTACTTCTATACAAGACACATTATTATACATCTGTCACCGTAACGTCATAATTATAAGTTACAGCGTGCCGTAATTTTGCGATTCTTTACGGGGTAATTTCATCCTACTATATAAGGAAATGCGAATTCCAAATATGGAATGATTACGCGTGTAAGCGTCCTCTAATAATAAAAACAAACATGGCTGTTACCAAGGTTTGACCGGACTCCACACAAAGAAGTTCGCTGATTCTGTTCTAAACATTCTGGATTCCGGCATTCCCATGACGTATACATGGATGAAAAAGTTGTATAATAATAATAATAATGTTACTACGAGGATACCTCAAAGTATGCACTCAGACAGTATGCCGTCGCATCGACCTCTGCTGCTCGTCGGTCGATACGTTCGCTGTAATGTCTTCGTGTATACTTTGAGGTATCCTCGTAATAACCTCATATAATACAGTAAATATATTTCATTAAATTAGTGGTTGTTGATTACATCGTCGTTATAATGTTGACAAGCAGTGTGGTTATATGTGTGTGTGTAACTCAGTTATTGACTGTGTCAACATGCGAGCATATTCTATGATTATTCCCAAAATACTCCATATTAACTTGCTGGCGGTTGTTGAATTGTTACAGCAAACTTTGCACGTACATTCTGAATGGTGTTTCGTTTGTTTGCACATCCCTCTTTAAAAGTCGCCAAGATTGGAGTAATCCCTGCCAAATGGTAAGTATTTTTATCAAGATATATTTGTTCGGACTAGGCTGAACAGTAGTGAACCGTTATTTATTAAAGTAATGACAACTTCAAAAAAAATTACTGTATCTACTCTTCACAAGCTCTGGCAAATTAAAACCATTGTATGTTGGATTGTCCGCTCTGAATTACACGTGTGAAATTATACTTTGCATTGCTGGGCTAAATTACATTATTTTAAACGTAAAATACAATATCAATAATAAGAAGGAATTTGAATAAGCCAAAGCAAAGACAATTGATGCTCAAATGCGCTGAACAAATCATATATAATATTCAATTATAGGTAATGACGATAAGTCATAAGTCATACAAAATAGTTGTTGTACTTCGTTTAGAAATTTCAGTGCTCCACTTTTTACAAGGTCCAAATCAAGGGAGCGGCATAATAAAAAGTAAGCTGTACAAAAACTAGCTAAATCTCACTACATTGCATCACTAGTTGTGTTGATATGGTTACAAAATGGGACTTCACATTTATTTCAGATAATGTTTTTCATGATAGAAGAAGTAGTCGCAGAGTAGTACATCATTAACCAGTAAATAAATAATAATTGGAAAGCTCCACTAAAATAGGAAAATTGAAGATATCATCACAAAATCACAATTTTTAAGAAGTCGAATATGTGTATGCTGACTGACGACGACGATGGATTACTGATAATCTGCATGTGCGTCCGGAATTTTCAGTAACAATATAACGTAAAAAAACGGTATCAAACATTTTTAGAGGTGTATCCACAATGCCAGGTACAACGTAAAAGTGATTGAAACATGGTCAATGTTTTCTAAGAGTCAGGTCTATGAGTTCAAAGCCGGGGAGTCGTCACCTGCGCATGCGTCAAACAGCCATAGTACGTCGTTGTTTACAAACAAGCGTCTACTCATGAGCGTTTTTAGCGTGCGTTGTTATCGTCGCTTGGGACTGATTTCTCGCACGATTTACTGTGATTGGTCTGTCCATGATTTAAATAAAATCATTATTGTATACAAGACGATAAGTTACCTCCGTATATTATGTTACTGTGAATGTGATATTCCATACAATACCCAGTGAACGTTGACTTTGGTAACCTACCAAATCGATGGTATAAATTGAGCGTGGCATTACATACCGCATTATTTCATATACAAGAGCCGAGGTGCAGTAGTCTGTTCTGAATATGTTTATTTAATATATGCATTTTATCATTGATAGTCTTCGTTTCTGGTGTATGCAACACATGTCCTGAAGTTGTTGATCATTTAATATGACAATTGCTGCAGACATAACAAAGGAAATTACATGCTTACATTAACAACGAGATTACATAATCCTACAATATAAGATCGGTCTACTCAGTGACACAACACTATACCAATGTGTGTTTGTAAGAGAGAACTTACAATTCTGTGTGCTGTTTTTTTAGTACACGTCACAATCCTTGTAGCGAGCCGAAAAGTATCTATAAATATCACTCGAACTAGTTGGAGGTTGGTGTTTCAATGTCAACCTGCTCAGGGAATGTTTTAATACGGCAAGAAGCTGTTTCTTTATACTAGTAAACTTCTTAGCGGGAGTAATCGGCCTTATTCTTATTATGTCAAAGTTCATGAACCCGGATATTACTTATAATGAGAATCACAATGTTTACGCTCTGTGTAATTTTTGTGGCTTGTGTGGCAAGTAAGTATATATTCGTTATGTTTTAAATACGTACATGATTCTGCACACAAACATGTTGTTCATGTGTTTTTAAGGCGCCAAGTGCCGCTTAATTGATCAACAATCAGGGTACAATTGAAACGTTTGATATGACTAGTATATATCACCGCGGTCTGTTTGTTTTGTCCAACGTCTACGTTACGATTAAGTAAGAATACAATTCATTCCATGCACAGACAAAACACATTATATTATAGTTCTAGTTTCTTAGTTAATTATCATATTAATTGCCAATGGGACGTCAATTTCTCCAACATGCAGAACTAGACCATATTCAGGTTGCAGGAATAAGTGAAGATATATACATATATCAGCTGCATGGCGCAATGCATTGACACCATAACCATCAAATTTTCTTTTCGCAGAGAAATCTCGACAGTAGAAGTGGCTTCTCGTAGAGTTATTCCACAATCTATGTTTTAATTTTGATCAATCATTTCACATCTTGTAATTTCATCCACGATAACAACTACTACAATTTATGCGTTTTAATATTATTGTCCGATGAACCGCAAAAAGATGTCCCACATTTTGATGTTCATCTACTTAAAGAAATAATACAACGTGTATTGAGACATTTTTAAATTCAGTTTCAGCAGCGGCCACAGTTACTGTGCCTGGGTCACCTGTCACCTCAATTGAGACCACATCAACAGTATTGGAATGTACATATACCGCTACTAGTAGTAATCCACTGATACAGTGGTATAAAGGGAGTAGTACAAGTACAGGATCTCTGCTTATACAAAAAAACAATGCCGGGGTTCTCCCGCAGCCTGGAATCACAAGACATGACATTCAAGGCCAAGCTAGTCTACTTATAACGGATACACAGTTAAGTGATGCTGACAAGTATTGGTGTCAAGTAGAAGGTTTAGGTGATCCTAGAGACGAGAAATCAATCACTCTCATAGTAACACGTGAGTATTCTATTTAGAAAAATACCTTTTACGTAATATTGTCTGAATAGTAAATATATTCCTAAATATAGCAACGAATTGTTATTCATATCTCTTGTCAATACATTCATTATATCATTAGTTGCATGTTCTTATCTGTAACACTGCTTGCGATATTACAGTCATGTATATTACTGAGTTCACAGAACCATATATGGGTATTATATGGAAACAAAGTTGAATATATTGCAATTACGTATATAAATGAGGTTACATGATCATATGTAGTCACATCAATTACTTTTCCCCTTCACACACACTTGATATTCATATTAATAAGATCATATGGCCATGAGTAATCATCTGATATTTAATTAACATATTTCATTAATTAGGTAACGTGGCTATATTAATATGTCTTGTCATATGCCTTCATTATGTCAGTGGTTGCATGTCCCTGCCTGCGCCAGTGCTTGCAATATTACAGATATGCATATCAATGAGGTCACCAGATTTGTATCTTCTCGTTTATTAAATAATATGCACTAATAAGCAATGATAGGGTTGTACCAAGGAGCCACAGACTGTGGGTTAACTAAAATGACCACGATTTTAGTGTCAATGGAGAAATGTTTTGAAACATGATAGAACTTTTGCAATTTAAAGTAATTACACAATATAAATGTA